TATATATATAGTCCGTATGTATATATTACTTTTTCTAACACGTGTGTAGGCAGATTCTATTTTTCGTGGGTATGAGATTGCGAAAAATTGATCGATGGAAAAACGTCTGCCCGTCAGTCCGTCCGTCTGTGAACAACGCTAGCGGCTATACCGTAAGCAAGATTTTCACCAAAATTCATATTCCACTACCGACCTGGCTGTCGAGGTCCCTTGAGTTTGAAACCGACATTTTAATTGAGAGGTTCCTTTACGTCAAGGCCCAAAAAGCGGCCCCAAACGTTTTAATTAAATTTTGTTGTCGGTTAACATAAAGGAAACTTGAGAATGGTGCAGGTCTCATTTTCGATGAAATCCTTAGTTTTTCGAAAATTGCAAAAATTTAAAACTGTTATACAGACGCTGCTTCATTTAGGGGATCCTAGGCAGAGTTGCTTTATTACAGGTATGTGAACTGCTTTTTGCTGAAGGAGGTGTTAATGTAGTGATAGTGATAGTGTGTTTGAGAAATGGAGTTTTCCCTTCACTATTACTAAACCCTAAATCTATGTCCACTTAAGTACTTAAAGATAAGAACCTGTAACTAAAAGATGAAGTTTGGAGAATAAGTGTGGGATAAGCTATTGCTGAAAGCCTCAGAGTTCATGTATACGCAAGTGTGTGGAAAGGATTACACTTTCTTCCAATTTTAATCTTGTGAATTGCTTAGAATGAGAAGTTATTAGTGATACAAAAGTGACTGTGTGATATTTATTCTCACTGATACGTTTATTTCATATTTACTTATTTACTGAACGGGCACCGTAAACTTCTGAACAACCAAGAGTGAATTCATATGCCCATTTTTCATAGACAATAAAGAAAATTTTGAAAGTTAAAAATTGACGCTGTTTTTTATCCTCCTATTGGTTTATAATATTTGAATTACGTCATTTTTAATCATTTTAAACGAAATGACTATGTATTTACATCATATGAAGGTGCTTTATATTCCCAGTTACCTCATATTCCTGCAGATTACATTGCAATGAATGAAGTTTTTAGTTTAAATACAACTAACCAACATGTTATGTGTATGTGTATGTATGTGTATATATAATCATGATTTTCTTTTAATAAAATCTTTAAAACTTCAATTGCAAATTTAAATAGTGAAGCGGTAGCTAGAAGAGGTACCCATCGAACTATGGGCCCTTCTTCCGGAGAATGCACAAATGAATTCTACATACTTTAATCTATATCCAAGGAATTTTCATGATTTTATCTCTATTCGTTAGTTTGGTAGAGCAATCTTTTTTTCAATGAAGAGAGTTCCCCAAAATATTGCACTTGAACCTGTCATTCGAGTTACAATTAATCCGGGAAACGTTACTAGTATTCGGGACTTATATGGATAGTTACAGGAATTGAACAAAAATATTAACAAAACATTGAGTGTGCTCCTCAATAAGTGTCCAGTGGAAATATTGACAAAAGCGTGTCCGAATCTGATAGTTCACAAGATGAACTGTGAGATAAAAAATAGATAACGAACCGCACTATGATTTCTATTTGCAGTTTATAATTAAAGCAAATTAAAATTTAATAGTATTTATTATGTACACCTTTTTATTAACAAATATAAAGTGTTCTCCAGAAGAAGGGCATATAACGATTTTTTTCTTTATGCCACATGTTTGAAATTAAGGAGAATTTAATTACGTTCTAAATGAAATTAACTTTAGAAATATTATACTTCACCAACATGGATGGGTTTTCAGTACAAGAAAATGTTCACACTTGCTGCGATTGCAACTTCCAATTGAGAAAATTCTCTGCTCGCTTGCTGGGTTCTTCTCAGTATGATAATTCAGAAAACTAGTATGCTGTCTGCGTTGGAAATATTGTTCGTACAGCCAATCTCGTAGCCTAAGGCAATTTTGTTGTTACCATTTTGCAATTTACCTCATCGAAATATTCCAGAACTTTAATATCATCAGGATGGAAATGCAACTAGCATACAAACGCAAATGCAACATAGTAGAATTCGGTATTAACTGAAAGCAGCACACAGACAAAATTAGTAATGAATTAAATATTTTTTTAAATGCAAAAATTTAAAATCTAGACTGGGCAAATGAACACATTTCATAACAAAACTGTTGAATAGAATGATCATGTACGTTTTGTAGGTTATATTTTGTAGGAAAGTGCTAGGATGCGTCGATTTTCATTTCTTTCGTATGTATTATACAAAAGTCTACGCGCGTACAACACAATAAATAATTATTTCAATAATACAATAAGATTTCAAAAGCAATTAAAGATAATTTACAATTGCTGGTTGGGGAAATTACTTGTGTGACTCACAACGACTTCATGTTTAAAGATTCATTTTTCGAAAATCTAAGGTGACAATTTTTTACAAAGAAAAGGACGAATTTTTTTTAAAAGAAAAGTGCAATGTAAATAAATGAAACATTGTAATAATAATGCAAACACAAATGCACGAATTATTCTTACAACTCTTTTAATTATTTAATTAAACCAATATTTTTGTTTCATGAATATTTTTGTCAAAAGATAATTTTCTAACAAGGTATTGGAAATTTTGGAGCAAGATATAGTCTTCTTATTGACTTTTACAGTAAGTGCTGCAGCTAGAGTACCAATATTCAATTGTGATTTCTCACTTGATTAACTAGATTAAGACATTAGTTTTAAAATATGAATAAGGAGGAAATGAGGACAGGTAGGAGGACACGTTTGAGGACGTAGGAAGTTCCGAGGCCTTCTGTAGAGGCGGTGTTAGCATAGCTGAGACTCTTCCCTTCTAGTTGTGACGTCAGAAACAAGCGCCGAGACTTTGGTGGAGAGGGCGTTGTGCCGTGGCCATCATAATAGGTGGCTATGGTTGAGCTAAGGAAGGTTTAGAAGGCTCGTCTGTGACATTTGGGAACCAATGACCCCTTCCGCTGCCTGACCCATTGGTCTTTGCAGAGGTCCTTTTTCATCCATAGAATCTTAGGTATGAATGGTTTCAGAGAGCATGGCAAGGACTTCGCCCCCCAGATCTCCATCAAATATTTTTAAGACAAAACAAATAGAAGAACGCTCTTTGCGATATTTGATGAAAACAGCAGGCCCACATGCAACCCACGTGACCTAGATCCGTAAATCCAGATGTTTGTGCCCCTAGGATGGGATTTATTTCTTATGTCGTAATCTACAAAATAAGGTGTATTTGAACTTTCTACTACATTTTAGGAGAGTACTCCCACTTGTACGATTTGTCAAATATATTCACAGTTGAATTCCGAAATGAAACTATTGGTAGTGTTAGAACAGTTATTTACAAAGTGCGGAATATTTGTGAGTCCAAATAGTTTATTATTATTATTATTATTATTATTATTATTATTATTATTATTATTATTATTATTATTATTACCATCCGAATGTTTCACTCTGTGCACTATATGCAGCTACATTCCCCTGACAATTGCTGGTCAGGACACGGTCGATTTCGCAGAGACAAGATATGAGCATTTCAATCAATCGTGGCCCAATCAGCAGTACATCCTAAAGATTCTCTTACTATTCTGCAGCTGCCCACTGTTACTGCTTTTTGTATTTGCTCTTCGCATGAAAATGGTAATTCAAACACTTGGAGTTGCATGAACTGCGTGTTTTGGTATTAATCCTGTGGTGGTCACGATTACCGGTTGTATGCCGATATTCTGAAGTCTTCATTGATGGCGAAGCTCATGAGACAGTGGTACATATTTCTGATTTTTCAAGTTATAAACATATTTTAGAGTGTTATTGTTGACGACTGCAAAATCGATGATTATGGCTGTTTTCTTGAGCTTGAATAGATCTATTATATCTGGCATATTGTTCGAAATTGTAGTGTTTATAATTCTGCTTCTGTCGCATTATAACTTCCATTCTTCATTTTCCAAGACTAGAAGGATGATACATGTAATATGGAAAGGACTCAAGCAAAACCAAAGTGAGTTCAAAGAATATCCTTGGAAGATAGAACAGTTGATGTTAATTTTGTGATAATATTCACTTCCTTGGTTTTTAATACTATTTCTTTATTTCACATTGTTGTTAGGGTTGTACAGACGTCTATCGACTTGGGATGAAATTTGTATATTTTTAGCACCGTGGGACCGATTCATAAGTTTTCTGATAATCTACATACGCTGCAAATAATTTCTATGCTTATTACTTGTTTTAAAACTGTCAGTAATTAATTTTATCTTGTATTATTATTATTATTATTATTATTATTATTATTATTTACTATCATTGTTACTTCCACTAGGTGTCGGGACCAAGTGTGCGTGATATGCCGTGCAGTTAACGTTCTCGAAGTGAATACAAAACAGCAGTTGTACTAGGTAGAGAACTTCATAATCTGCTACTTGGTTTATAATTATAGAGAATAGATTTGGAGAGCTGCCTTACATTCACCCACTAGTTGTCTTCTATTAATTGTAACACTGTAGTCTATCCACAAATATTTTACGATTTTTCACGAAATCGATATCGTGACCTTTTAGGTCTGCGAACACGTGGTAGAGTCGACTGCAAAGTGCCGCATTATATCAAATAATTTGTAATACTTTTCTCTATTATTAACTCGTATTTCAGATATTTCCTGTTCAGATATTTCCTGAAGACCCTGTCCATCAAATTTCCCCTCTCGATTTGATTTTTGTAATAAAAATTGTCTGGGTTACAAAAATTAACCCGACGGGCACATTGAACATTGATTATTTCTCAAGTACTTGATGTACAACGGGCGTACTATATTGTTTTACAATGTAGTTATTTTTTGTACGTCCGGCTATGGTTCACATTTCACTTTTGAAGGTGGTGACCTGTAACTAGTGTCTTGTTCCACCGTTACGTAGCAACGCACGCACAGTGGCCAACGAATGCACTCGTCATAGCCATTTCATAACGATCTTGTCAGCGTAGGAGCGGACAACATGGAAAGCAACCGTCAGGGACAGCGCTATAGGACTCGGCCCCTGTGGAAAGAAGGCATGACTACTGCAGAAATTCATCGGCGCTTGGTGGCAGTCTGTGGGGAACATGCGCCTTCACAGAAAACTATTTACAACTGGCTAGAAGGTTGGAAAACAGGGCACACATCGGCGGTCAAGGGATCCAGTTCTGGAAGGAATGTGGCAGTGTCAACGCTAGCCAACATTGCCCGGGTCAAACAGGCCATCCAAGGAAACAAATGCATCACATTTCCGAAAATGGAAGCAGCCACAAGAATTAGCCGAAACGCCCTGCAGCGGAGCGCGCATGGCCACAGTTGGGGAAGGTGTCATGGCAAAGATCCAGTCGACTTCATGGCTAGGCTTGTGACGTGATGAGTCATGGCTCCATTGCCATGAGGCACAAACGAAACAATCGATGCAATGAAGGCAATGGCAGACCACCGGCAAAGAAATAGCGAATAGTGCCATCAGTAGGCAAACGAATGGCGTGAAACAGTGTTCTAAGCCACAAAGGGTATCATTCTCATTGTATGGCTGGAATTTAGGGTCACCATTAACAGTGCACCATATGTGTCAACCCCTAAGCGCTTACGTCTTGCCATTCAAACTTAGCGGCCAGGAAAATGGGCTAAAGTTGTGCTTCTGCAACATGACAATGCCCGCCCCGACATTAGCCGAGAGACCACTGCTGCCATTGATCAAATGCAATTCACGGTGGTGCCACACCAACCCTACTCCCCCGACTTGCCACCAAGTGATTATCACCTGTTTGGGAACACGAACAAACTTCTACGTGGTCGCCGTTTTGCGGATTTTGAAGAACTGGAAGGCATGGGCACCCAACACTCCGAAAGAATGGTTTCAGGCAGGTCTGGAGAGACTGACTCATCGATGGGAAAAGTGCTCACAGTTACAAGGGTTGTTACAATGTTGTACTCACAGTTACAATGTTGAGAAGGTGGACGTAACTGATGTGTAATGTGCTTCATTTAGATAGAAAAAATAGTGTAAAACAATGTAGTATGCCCTTACCCACGTACATTAGAGCTATGATTCATGCTTGGCAATGTTGTTTTCTTGAAGAATATCAATTTGAAAGCAATCATTGGTATAAAATGTCCTTGTGAATTATAAACATCTAGTAAAAGTATTGCGTTACTGAATTTTTGACTGTAGTTTCAGAAAATTGAATTTACACAGTGTAAGTAGTAAACAGAACACGTACAAAAGACATGAAAATGAATGTGTACGTAATACTGATATCCAATTACTGACGTTTCTGTACTACTAGTATCCTATACGCTCAAAAATTTAAATAAATCTACGCCTCCTCCGGCTTCGGAGAGGTTTCTAGGCTTCGTTTGTCACTCAGGAACTCAAGATAAAATACAAAATTTATATATTACTATCTTCCAAGAAGCAGAAATTGAAAGGAAACTATGAACCTCTGGGTATACAAGAGGTGTCTACGGTTTCTTTATATACCCAGTTTAAAAAACAACCACAAAAAAACTGAGATGTTATTCGTCAGCAATGCTCTATGGAGGAGGCCATCCGCCATAAAATACTTTCTATTCACGTGATGCTGTATGGGGAAGCAACTTTTTTATATTCGTGGTGTCAAAGAACTGTTGTACTGTGAGTCATTATGTACTAACCTCATGTTGTAGTATTCGTGAAGACTTATGTTAACATATTTAATTTATTTTGTTTCACGAAACGAAACGAACGAGCAGTGCACATTTATTTTTGCAGGTCACTAGTCAACTTCCTAACAGCAGTTGCGCCGAGTGAAAAGACCGAGCCTTCTGATTCGAAACTACCAGTAATTGCGGTATCGCAGGTTCGATTCCGGCAAAGTGCAACTATTCACTTGACGTCTTTTAGCTTCGATGTTTGTGGCATCTGCCGAAATTGAATTCGAAAGCCTACCGCTCTGTTCAGAGATTTTAGCGGGTCTCCTTATCACTTGTACGCGAATGCCGGAGCAGTTCACTCGAATATGGTTACGTCTTCCTTCCGTTCCTCATTCATATTTTTCCCCCGAGCGATAGACTGATCAGCCATCTTCATTTGGCCCATCGCAATCGATTCAGAAAATATCGGAGATCTAATTTTAAAAACATTCACATAGGAAGGGGTACATTTTCATGGAATTTACATTATTTCCGCGTCGGCTTGGAAGGGCATTTGTCAATAAAAATATAAAAAAATGTCTTATGTTTTTCCTGGAGTGTAGAAGAAGCCTGTATTTCCAGAAATGTGTAAAATAATTCGTCGTGCCATCTGCTTGCCGACAGTTGTCGTATTCTTAGCTGAGTGAACACGAAAGTAGACCGCCCATTGTATTTATAAGCAGCTGCCTAAACTTAGTTCGCTGTTACGGTTTCATGGGCCAAGAAATTTCGTTCCGGGGGCCGGAGGGCGGAGCGTGTGCTCAGTTTTAGATACGGCAACAACAGTGCAACAAACGCACCAAGTGCATTTGAAGGTAGTACGTCTCGGTTCTCATATACTTGGCAGTCAATTCGTAGAATCGTCTCTATTTTTGTAATCAGCTTCGCTCAAAACTCTGTTGTGGAGATGAGCATGGTATCACCCGTGAACAGTCTTGAACGGGTGGCCACTTCAATCTCGGTAACAGAACGCTGAACTCAATTGCTTCCTTCTCAAG